ACTCAGTAGTACTCTGTGGTACACTGTGTTACTCAGTAGTACTCTGTGGTACACTGTGTTACTCAGTAGTACTCTGTGGTACACTGTGTTACTCAGTAGTACTTTGTGGTAACCTGTAGGTGTTCTTGCACGGTCTGGCCCGGCCCGGGCCAGCCGGGGCTCAAACCCAGGTTTGGTGTTCTTGCATTAGCCCTCGTGTCCCAGGTCCACTACAGTACTGGAACCTGAAGAGCCAATGTCAGCTGCTCACTGATTGGTTGACTGACGGGGCGGAGTCACACAGATCAATAATTTTATGCAAATCGTTTGCCGGGACTGTACTATTTTTTTCACAAGTTTAAACAACCAACAACAGCTAGCTAACTGTAGTTAACAGTAGCTAACAGTTGCTCACTGTAGCTAACAGTTACTCACTGTAGCTAACAGTTGCTCACTGTAGCTAACAGTTACTCACTGTAGCTAACAGTAGCTAACTGTAGCTAACAGTAGCTAACTGTAGCTAACAGTTGCTCACTTCAGCTAACAGTTACTCACTGTAGCTAACAGTAGCTAACTGTAGCTAACTGTAGCTCACTGTAGCTCACTGTAGCTAACTGTAGCTCACTGTAGCTAACAGTAGCTAACTGTAGCTAACAGTAGCTAACTGTAGCTAACAGTTGCTCACTTCAGCTAACAGTTGCTCACTGTAGCTAACAGTAGCTAACTGTAGCTAACTGTAGCTCACTGTAGCTCACTGTAGCTAACTGTAGCTCACTGTAGCTAACAGTAGCTAACTGTAGCTAACTGTAGCTAACAGTAGCTAACGGTAGCTCACTGTAGCTAACAGTAGCTCACTGTAGCTCACTGTAGCTAACAGTAGCTCACTGTAGCTCACTGTAGCTAACAGTAGCTCACTGTAGCTCACTGTAGCTAACGGTAGCTCACTGTAGCTAACAGTAGCTAATGCTGCGTTGACACCAGACAGAGTCTGAATGATGTCCACTAACCTGAGACAGCTGACAGGAGCTCTTCAGCTGAAATCTAGTGTCTGTAGTTGGTGTCCTGCAGGAGATACCAGCACTGATGTGGGTCAGAGGCTCATCAAACTGGACAAAAATAGTCCTGAAAGCCTCGAGTCAGCTCAACGCTCCTGTGATRAAACTCACCAAACTCACAACCTGTCTGAATTATCTGGTGAGTGCGATGTTCTCTTGCTGTCAGAAAGTAAAGCAAAGCCACTTCCTTTAGTTCATCTGACATAAACAGAGATCTGCAGAGGAGGAAAAACTGCTCTCAGAGCACTTGATGTGTGTCGAGAGCAGTTTGTGTTTGTTGTGAACACAGCACAGTTCTCTGTTGTCTTTAGTGTCAGACTGCTGGATGGTCCTTTGATCTGAGTTCGCAGCGGTCCGTTAGTGATTAGCACAGCTGGTACGTGTTTCATATTATGACCCCACCCACATGGAGGCAGCTCTGCTCAATCCAAACACCACCAGGGCCCGAGTACTGAGCCGGGGCGGGCCAATCCAAAAATGCCTTGTGGTACTCTGTGGTACTCTGTGGTACTCTGTATACAGTAGTAGTACCTGGTGATCAGATTATTTATTTTCAGATGAAAAGTGTATTTTTGGAACAAATAAAGTTTGTTTCAGAGGTCAAATGTCAGAAGTGGGTCATGGTTTAATTTGTACAATTAGTGGTTCTGGTGGTTCTGCTGGTTCTGCTGGTTCTGCTGGTTGAACACCTGTTCCCAGAGTTGAAGTGTTCAGAACCACTGACCTTTAAACAAGCTGCTGAAGAAAGCTGGTAAGGTCAAAGATTGAACTATCCTGAATGTGACCAACATCCTGTACTTACATGGGTCTGATGAATGGTACCAGAACCACTGACACGTCCAGAACCACCATCATCCAGCTGATGATGATAATCTGTGTTTAATGAATCTGTTCTCCACTGGTTCAGTTTCCTGCTTTAGTTTTCAGACCTGACTCATCTTCTGGTTCTGTTTGTGGCTCCAGGTCTTTGTTTTCCTGTGGGATCAGAGGACCGACAGGTGGAGGACCTGTTCTGTTACTGGACCCCAGCATGAGACCTTCAGAACCGCCTGCAGTCAATCAATCAATCAATCAATCAATCAATCAATCAATCAATCAATCAATCTTTCTATTATCTCAGAAATAAGAGGTTAAAATNCACATGTGTACACACATGATACACGTGGATTTTATTTTGAAATCAGAAGTTTCAGGAAGACGACAGTGAGACAGTTTCAACATAGATACCAGAAGCCTTTATATCGTTGTTTTCAGCTGTTTGGAGTTCATCTTTCACAGAATTAATGATTTTTTGCTCTGACTTCCACATTTATCACTGAATTTATCACACGATCTGCTTCCTGCACGTCTGTCGGAGCGGAGGTGGTGTAAACTGGACTTGAAACGCTCCGGAGCTGAGACAGAACACATTTAGTGTAAATTAGGGAACACATGTAGTGTAGATTAGGGAACACGTGTAGTGTAGATTGGGGAACACGCGTAGTGTAGATTGGGGAACACGCGTAGTGTAGATTGGGGAACACGCGTAGTGTAGATTGGGGAACACGCGTAGTGTAGATTGGGGAACACGCGTAGTGTAGATTGGGGAACACGCGTAGTGTAGATTGGGGAACACGCGTAGTGTAGATTGGGGAACACGCGTAGTGTAGATTGGGGGTCAGACCATGGTATAAATACCACCTGATCTGACCGACTCTACTGTGGACTGGAGTCTTGGAACCAGAACCATCAGGTTCTGGTGGATTTGTGCATGACAACAGAATCAGAACCACATCAGATTCAGAGCTTCAGTCTCAGCTGGTACCACAGTCCTGAGCTGAGCTGAGCTGAACAGAACCAGAACCCAGTCAGGCTGTTCTGTTGGGTCTGGGGTTCTGATGTTTGGACCAGAATTTAGAAAAACTTTGAAAGAATTTAAAGTTTTTGTTTTTATTTATTTTTGCGCCCAAACCCAAAGGTCRCACCGGTCCCAGTGGTGGGATTTTGTCTGGGTCGCAAACAGAACCAGAACCTTGTCGCCTTTCTCTGCTGCTGCTGTGCCTCTGAAAGTGAATCCAAGGTCCAACATGTGTACTCAGGTTCTGTTAGGGTTCTGACTGGTTCTGGTCCAACATGTTTACTCAGGTTCTGTTAGGGTTCTGACTGGTTCTGGTCCAACATGTTTACTCAGGTTCTGTTAGGGTTCTGACTGGTTCTGGTCCAACATGTTTGTTTATCCTGGTTCTGTCTGACCCGGTCTGTGTGGTTTCAGGTCCATGAGAAGACGCCTCTGAAGGTGAAGAACTTTGGGATCTGGTTGAGGTACGACTCTCGCAGCGGAACCCACAACATGTACCGAGAGTACAGAGACCTGACCACGTCTGGAGCTGTCACTCAGTGCTGTGAGTAAACAAACAAACAACAAACAGGGCTGTGAGTAAACAAACAAACAACAAACAGGGCTGTGAGTAAACAACAAACGGCTGTGAGTAAACAAACAACAAACAGGGTTTTGAGTAAACAAACAACAAACAGGGCTGTGAGTAAACAAACAAACAACAAACAGGGCTGTGAGTAAACAACAAACGGCTGTGAGTAAACAAACAACAAACAGGGCTGTGAGTAAACAAACAAACAACAAACAGGGCTGTGAGTAAACAACAAACAAACAGGGCTGTGAGTAAACAAACAACAAACAGGGCTGTGAGTAAACAAACAAACAACAAACAGGGCTGTGAGTAAACAACAAACAAACAGGGCTGTGAGTAAACAAACAACAAACAGGGCTGTGAGTAAACAAACAACAAACAGGGCTGTGAGTAAACAAACAACAAACAGGGCTGTGAGTAAACAAACA